CTGCGCTTTGCAAGGAGTAAGAGCTCAGTAGGTAGATATGATAGAGTGATTCAATAATAAAAACGCGTTAATATTACGCGTTTTTTATTTGTCTTGAAAGGGTTGGGATCGCTTGGGCTAGCTAAGCGATCCAGGGATTTCCTTTTGTTAGTGTCACGTGACCAATTGGGTCGCCTGGAGCGACGAGCGCTCCAGTCGTCTGGGTCGACTCGGTAGACAAGCGACCCCGGCGGTCCAACAGTTAGAACAGAGAACAGAGGTTCTATATAAGACTGTGCACTTCTGCCTTTAGATAGGAGTTTCGTGCTCAACTTAGTTATCAATCTTATCTTATCAATCTTATCATATTAGTTTGATAACTAAGTTGAGCACGAAGCCCCTATCTAAAGGCAGACGTGCCAGTCTTATATAGAACCTTCGTTCTCAGTGGTCGCCATGGTCGCCATGGTCGACTCGTCGGCCATGTCGCTCGTTTTCGTCACGTGATATTCTAACCGAAACAAATCCCTGGATCGCTTAGCTAGCCTAAGCATCCCTATTTGCTATAAGAGTTACATGATAGTGCTTAACCTGTCAGGGCGCCGCCTGGTCTTCACTCGTCACCTGCTAACACGTGATTCGTGACACCTACCTATATATTATTAATATAAAATACTTTTTAAAACTTATATCTAAATAATAAGAAGGACGTTAATTATAGTATCTTAGTTATATTATAAACTTAGCTAGGAAAGCCTTCTTATTCAGTATAACTTTTAACTTATTTAAGAAGGAATCTAAAGAGCTTAAGTAAAATTCAGAGCTTTTAAAAGAGCTTTAACTTTAGCGCTAGTAAGGACCTATTAGATAACTATAATATTATTACTTTTATATCTTATATACCTTAATACTATGGATAATTTAAGAAGATTAAGAGAATAGAATCTAATAGATTAGATAAATTAGAGTTTAAGTACCTTTCTCTTATATATAATAATACTACTTAGTAGAGTTCTGTGAGAGGCCAGACCTCGAACAACTCAAAGGTGTGGGTTCAATATTCAATTATTTTTCCTTGTCCAATTGTTCTGACCTTGCTGTTGTTCTTGGAAGGCTAGTCTGTACTGTACTAGCGCTAATCCTTAGTTTGCCATTGTTATCATCGTCATCTGATGACATTGAAGAAAACGAGGAAGATCGACTCCGAGTTGGCTTATATTTGCAGGAACCAACCCAATGCTCGCCAGATCCACATCGTACACATTTGCCATTGTCTCTCCATTTTTGACGTTGCTCCCGTGAGATAGCTGGAGCAGTCCTAGCTGCTGCTGTTTTGACTGGCTCCCATTCCATTGCATTGTTATAACCACTGCCATTGCTGTTGCCATTGCCATTGCCGTTGCTGTATGATGGTCCAAATTGATTGCCGAGAGTTTGGAGCATTCTTGTAAATCCATCATAGTCCGTTGGTAGACTTAGCTGTCCATCGATTCGTTGTCTAGTGTATTTGTTTAAACCACCCACCAAGGTCGTTATCTTTGCGTCATCTGGCCAGGACCCTGCACCTGCCTCAAACATTGTCTTTTCAAACTGTGGTAGGTATGCTGCCACTGTCATTGTTCCTTGCTTTGACTCAATCAAACGTTGCCCTGCCTTCTTTGCCTATTCGGGTCATCATACATTCGTCCGAGGTAATCCATAAGAGCAAGAGGTTTCCAGTCTTCTTTGTCTTGTGCTTGTCGTACAAAGCTGAGTACAAGACCTTGCACTTTTGCTCCCAATGAGCTATAGACATAATAAAACTGGGCTTCGTTGCCTCCAATTGCATCGCCGTCTATTCGTAGCTTTGCACGCATTGTCATTGACCAAGTGTCCCAGTCCTTAGTACGACCTGTAAAATGATCTGGTTCCGGGAGTACCTGGCGTGTCTTTGTCGTTGTCCGTTGTTGTTGAAGCTCCTGTAACTGTGTGCGAAGCTCATCGACTATCGCCAGGAGTTGTGATTCTCGTTGGTTGGCTGTTGTAGCCCATTGAATGCCTTATGATTCCATTGCAAAAAAAAAAATCCGCTCTCGTCTTCGAATGAGGGGTTTTTCGTAGGTCTTCGTTGCTTTGCTTTGCTTTGCTTTGCGTTGTAACTCTAGTCTGAAAACAGATGCGAGTGACGTAGTTCTACTGTGAGAGGCCAGACCTCGAACAACTCAAAGGTGTGAGAGCCCACACCTTTGAGTTGTTCGAGGTCTGGCCTCTCACAAGTTCCTTATACTCTATAATTAAATAAGCGCTTAAATTCTATACTCGAATTAATTAATTCTACTTCTTAAATAGCTACGTAAACTATAGACTAAAACGGTATAAAAGGAATCCTATAGAGCCGAAGAAAGAGTAACGTAGTCCACAAGCGAGTTGGATTCCCAAGCGAAATGGATTTTTTTTCTTGGCACTCAACAAACTTATTCAGAGCGCGTTTTTTCTTAACAAACAAAATGGTTAAGCATTGGACAGAGTCTGATATGATTCTTGCGTTAAATACGCTTCGTACGAACCCACATTTAAAAGTTAAGAAGGTTGCGCGGATCTACAAAGTACCTTATACGACATTGCTTAATCGAACTCATGGAATATTATCACGACAAGATTCTATCGCTAAATCTCGAAAACTTACAGAGATTGAAGAAACAGTTATCGTACGACATATTCCCGACCTAGATTCTCGATCATGTCCCCCACGAGTACATTGTGTTGAAGATATCGCGAATCGTATCCTCTCGGAGCGCGGTGCAGGACGCGTTGGCAAGAACTGGACTTCGAACTTCGTACGACGACAACCTGAACTTAAGACGCGTTTTAATCGAAGGATTGATTATCAAAGAGTCCAATGCGAAAATCCAGACGCGTATAACGCGTGGTTTCGCCTCGTACGAAATATAATTGACAAATATGGGATTCAGGAGGAGGATATTTATAACTTTGACGAGACTGGGTTTTGTATGGGCCAAATTACATCAGAAATGGTTGTTACAAGTACCGAACGGCTTTCTCGGCCTCGTACAGTACAGCAAGGAAACCGGGAATGGGCAACAGTAATTCAAGGTGTTGGGTCGTACGGCTTTGTAGTGCCTCCATATATCATTTTGGCGGGGAAGAACCACCTCTCCTCCTGGTACGAAAACAGCCAATTACCACGCGACTGGGTAATTGCTGTAACTACAAATGGCTGGACAACAAATGAGCGAGCCCTAGATTGGATTTTTCATTTCGATCGGCATACAAAGCTTCGTACGAAGGGCATTCACCGGCTGCTTGTGCTTGATGGCCATGAAAGCCACCACTCAGTCGATTTTGAGCTTTTTTGTAAGAGTAATAACATTATTACTCTTTGCATGCCAGCTCATTCCTCTCATAGACTCCAGCCACTCGATGTAGGATGTTTTCGAGCGTTAAAAAGGTCGTACGGTGCTGAACTTGAGAAATTAATGCGACTCCACATTACATATGTTTCTAAGGAGGATTTCTTATCAACATTCTATACTGCCTTTCGTACGACAATGACTGAATCAAACATTCGAGGAGGATTTCGAGGATCTGGCTTAGTGCCGTACGACCCAGATTCTGTGATTTCACAGCTTGATATACGTCCAAGGACTCCGTCACGTCCATCTACCTCAACAAGCCTCCTAGCTATTTGGGAACCAAAGACCCCAAATAACATAACAGAGGCATATTCCCAGACGTCATATATACAAAACAAGGTCGTACGACACCAAGATAGTTCTCCGACCCAGATTCTATATGGCCTAGACCAGCTTGCAAAGGGTGCACAGCGTGCAATCACTGAGGTAGCTTTATTACGAGCTGAGAATGCTACACTTCGTACAGCAAATGATCAACTTAGTCGGCGTCGTCGTACGAAAAAGCGCCGATTACAGGAAGGAGGATCACTTACTCTCCAAGATGCGCAAGATTTAGGGGTCCTTAGTAATGTTGATTCGCAAGAACAAGTGGTTTTAGTAGAAAATAGTAATTGTACGAGCCCGAGTCTAGTATCTCGCCGGCGCTGTGGACTATGTGGGAAACATGGCCATAACATACGAACTTGTCAAAAAGGAGAAGAAATATGTGAGGATTCCGATTCTGAATACTGTAATATACTGTAATTAATTTAATTAATTGTGTCGTGAGATATTTAAGAATTTATAAAATGCCAAGAAAAAAATCCATTTCGCTTGGGAATCCAACTCGCTTGTGGACTACGTTATACGATATAACCCTTATGCTTATCTTAACAAGGAACGTTCCTATAGAGTAGGAATAAGTCTTAGCCTAGCTCTATACTATATAATATACTATAAACTAATTTGTTTATATTTCTAGTATAAAGGATAAATAGTTAGTTAAAGTAGTTTAAAAACGCTTTAAATAGCCTAGAATTAAACGAGAAAACTCTACTATATAAGTAGTATTTAAGGTAGGTTATATAAGTATACGTAACCCTTTATACTAGTTATAATGTCTAGTTTATAGGAACGTTCTTTATTCTTAGTTATTAAATCATTTATTATATCTTTACTTTTATTTTCTCTCTTTATTGTTCTTTTAAAAGGTTCTCTAAGTACATTAGTAGTACTTTACATTACATACTATTAATCTATTCACTACCCGAAGTCGCTAATCTAAATCAAATTGATTTAATCATGATTTAGTTGATTACTAATCGATTAACAGAACAATTCGTTCTCACGCTGACGGTATTTTACATACCAATTGATAAGGTATTATACGAAAAGTTCCAACCCCACCGAAGAAAAACAACCTCATTATCTAACATTTTTATACACAAAAAACAATCTAAAAACCCCCCCCATGAAACTCACAGAACCTCATCACCACCCCCGCCGCCTCTCGTTCAACCTCTCGATTCCTCTCCACACTCTCAACCCTCAATATCGCATCCCTCGCCGCTCTCCTCCTCGCATCAGCTTCCCACACAAAGTCCGGAGGACGGTATGGTCTATTCCACTCAGCAATCAGCAACCATCACCAAAAGCAGCTCCCCAAAGTAAATAAAGGAACCACAAACCCAAAAACAACACTCCCCCTCCTCCCCATTTCCTCCCTCTGTTCCAGTCCCTGCATCTCCTCACCCCCCATATACGTCCCAACACCATGCGAAATCCCCCTCTGATTCAAAGGACACTCCCTCTTCCGACATACCCTCCCCTCCCACTCCCCCCACCTCTCCCTCACATCCACACC